GTATTGGTTTCCGAGATCGGTCGTTGAACGATTGCCAGTATGTATCTCCGAAACGTTAGCCTCTAATTCTCTGAACGTGTTTGTTTTCCAGTGAATATCGAATATGTTCGGAGGGTCTCTGTTGTGTAATGATTCAGATCGATCGTTGATGCTTCTCAAAATGATTACCAAGCGTTGTGTAAGGTGACGTTCGTCTTGCAGTTTCTTTGGGGAATGTTTCGAGCGTGAGGTATCATTGTTTCATGAAAAATCGGAGATCGGAAAACTTCCGCTCGGACAAAGGAGCTATTAGCCGTAGAATTATCGGCACGCCAGGTGAATAGATTACGTGGAGAGGATCAGATACTGGTTCATTATGCAAGCGGAGGATTCCGACGAGATATAATCGGACACCTTTTGTTCCTTGCGCCGCCAGACGGATTAGCGACGCGGATTTGTCTTCGGAAAATCATTTCGCTTCCTTCATTATGAAACGGATGCAAATGGATTCGACGTCTGGATGTCTATTATTAACGTTCAACACCTTCGTCGGTAATTTCTCCCTTTCCTTATCTTCGACGCTAGGCGGTCGTCCATTTGGATCTCAGAAATCAGGCCTTTAAAGGTAACCAATCATCCGCGTAATTGTATCGATCGAAATCGACGCGAACGATTACCAAATAACGCTTACAAAATTCAGTATGCATCAACTTAACACTTTCTAATCGACATGCTACATTCGTCTATGTCCAAATCTCCAATTTCCAAGATCTAAATCGGTTACCATAGGAGCAACAAAACAAACTGTAAATGCCTATAAATCTATTGTTGACCCCTTGCCTCGTAACAACGTGTCAGGCACGTGGTAAAGATTTTAAAGAGCGCCCAACAAGATTAAACATCACTCCATCCTTTTGAACTCAAAGAAAACGATATTCATATCTTATCAATAATTACACTTCAGAGCAAGCAGGCATGTACCTAAAATATTCCTCCGCTTTCGATAAACCATCACACTAGATTTACGGAACTCGTCGATCTAACGGACAAATTTGTTAAACATTCAGTAAATATTTAAGTCGACTCTGATTCGTGCAATCATGCGAATTCGCATTGTAATACCGTAGCTTTGCAGCTACAATTTTCGCGATAAATAAACACGCGGTTTTCTAGAAGCAATCGAATGAAATAGAAACGTCCGTAAATCTACTGTTAATGGCAAGGTAGTCGTGTCGATCACAATTGGCAAATAAGTCGTAGAACAAGAGGTTAACACTAGAACTACGTACCAGTCAAAATAACTGGTTTTGATCTTTTTGTTTCGCAATTATTATCTTAAAAGCATTCAGTAATTGAAATGATCTTGAAAATGAATAGTTTCATTTCAATACTACAATGAATATCTAAAACAACCGACAATAATCTATTGTCACAATTTTTATACGGATTACATATTAATCGTATTAAATGCTCGGTAGTTCTAGTGTCAACGACACCCGGTAAAGCCGATAAAGGAGCAGGGGTTGTTGGCTAGGCGTCGGATGCCAGGTGGCAGTGTCTAGGATGATCGCAGCCAGGATTAGCCGCGCGGATACGTCGATTCTCACACCGATTCACGGTGCACGTGTTGCGCGGCGCAGATAGGTGACACACGCGATAGATGATCGAGTAATACGCGGCCGACTGGTTAACAGGAAGCGGTCAATTCGGGTCAGTAGAGGAAAAGTGTGCGGCCGGGCCCGGCTCGACGACCGGCGATCCCGGCTGATCCATGTCCTCGCGGATCTCTCCTTCCTCCCAAGGACGCCGGACTTCGCACATCGGCGACCGCGCGAATTGGGCCTGTCCACACGCCACCGGCGGCGCGACGCGCAGTTTTCGCGCGCGAGGGACTACTATTCGTGAACCCGAGCGTCCTCGACCAGCCTCGGACAATCGAATCACGATCGCTACGTACGCGCTCCGTGTAATTCATGCGAAATGCACCACGCTGAAAATATGTCAAGCGTGGCAACGAAACGGTCCGCTTTTACGCAATGGCGCGGCAAAAAGGCTTGCACTGTTTTTACGAAGCATGCATAACTTCAGTTCACCGTGTTTTTAAGATCCACCTGTTCCAATGAATCACGTCTTGGCGTCAGTCTCGTTCTCTCTGCTAGGGAGTTAGCTATCTCTCCGATGTGCTCGAATCTTGGATTTCTCATTTTTGGTGCAGTTTCGTAATGGAAATGATGGTAACGCCTCGCTTCGTTCGTCTCTCGAACGTCGAAGATAGTCTGTCGTCGAGTTGAATGGGAGGAAGTCTTTCATTCGAATTTCTAGGTAGGCTAGATCTCTTCGAGAGCTCGAAGTAGACTCCTAAGAGCTGTGGAAATACGAAAGGAAAAGGAATCTCGTAACTGGACCTATTAGATCAACCCGAAGGCCGCGATTTTTGCTGTTTCCTCGAGCGCTCAATTGAACGCCGCGTAAATTAGCAAGTACTCAGAAATTGATCCCGCCGCGAAGTGTCACGGTCGCTGTTTTTGCTATGGCACTCGGCAATGGGTTCGATGCGGGTGTTAGTGTTCCGAGGAACGTTGCTGGAAGACCAGAGGCACGAGTGAACGTTTGAAATGTCGCAGTTCGCCGCCAGGATCGTTCAGAGGAACGCTGATCGAACCGAGTTGCCCCGTGAACCATCAGCCAGGTGACTTAGAGCCTCCGGTCTGCTTCGTTGAGTACTGACTCCGAGGAGTGTCACCTATTCCGTTATTCAGTTCACCGTGGTCATCTTATCGTCTTCTAGACGTTATAAACTTAATGATCGAACCGAATGCTTTTCGAACGTCAATGGAGACTTTGAAGATCTAGAACATCAGAGGAAGACTCAAAGTTCGAGGATACCTAGAAGAAAAGGAAGCTAGAGTCCTCCAGGATTTTTCGATGAATTTATCGATTGCCAAGAGACGGTTCAAAGTTGAAGATCTAAACGAGTTCAGAGAAATCGGGAAGAATCTGACTTAGGCGTCAATCGAATGGTCTTGGAAAAAGGACGCTTGAAACCAGAGGAACCTGGGAGATTTAATTGTCCCCGAAGAATCCTTTAAGTTGGGCTCGCCAGAGGTCTAGAAATGGAGCAGGAGAAGAGGATGGCCAACTCCAGCCCAGCGTCGCCGACGCTCTCGACGCCGCCGACGCTGAACCTGATGGAGCAGATCCTGCTGGCGAAGATCGAGAAGCAGAGTCTACGCGAGGACGAGAACGAGGCTGACAGGCGGGGAGCGGCCGCGAGGAAGAACCATCTTCTGCGGAGGGCGGACTCGATGGACAGTCAAACGAGCGCGAGCACTTACAATTCATTCCTCTCGAGCGACTCCGCGTCCAGCAGCAATCTCTACTGCAAGTGCGACGATTGCCTGCTGGGAATCGTCGACCAGTACCAGCGGTGCCCGCCTCCGGTCGGCCAGAAAAAGGTAAACCCCAGCACTCTGCTTTTCCGCCTCGCGATAACGTTGCCTCGGTGATAGTCCCCGGCGGGGGCCGGACGCGAGCGATTGTCGAGGCACACGGAGATCTCGGAATCCTTTTATCCCGAGCTACTCTCGCGTTCGATTGTTCCAAACAGCCAGAGATCCGAGGTTTCACGATCCTCTTGAGTCACTTTAATTACTGTACGAATGCAACGGAATAAAAACTGTGACGATCATCCACGGAGCTATTATTGTCTCCTCCAATTGAACCGCGGACCTTTTTAATCAATCGGAAAGTTTCGTTTTCGCGAAGGACTCGATCCGAAAGAAACGGATGTTTGAAAATGCGATTCAACCGAGGAATTAAGTGAGCTTCAACGAAGATTGAACCGTCAAGGTGCATTCTATTCTGTTCGCGGTTTCCGACGAGGGGGACGACGGGAACCTTCAGCCTCGTGGTTGCGCGATGTCTCAATAAAATCAATCAGCCCGTCGTCCGCCGACGTCTTTAGTCAGCCACCTGACAGGAACATTGTTTCCTCTCGACGGGTGGACGGCCGGAGGGAGGAGGGAGGAGGGGGGCTTTCGAAACGGCCGGGCCGAGCCATCGATACGTTTCACTTTCATTCCGTATGCCGCGTGACGGCCGGTGTAACGAATGCACGGACGTCGACAGCCCGATGATTGATTAGAAACTTATTAACGGCGGGTTGCGCAA